GTATATATATATATATATATATATACTCTTAATTAAAATGTACCTATGATTTTAGAATACTTAGTAATTTGACTAAAGCAACTTAAGGCACTAAAGTTGTAATAAAACATATATCATTATATTTATTAGATTTATGTACCAAAACCTTAAGCAAGTAATAAAGATAACTTCATCTAATGAATATCGAAATGAATTTTCAGATCAAATGGTTCCTTACATTACCCTTATGATTATTTTTATTAAATTAATTTTCAGAGAAATACAAATATTCACTTTTTTCAAAATTATATAAACATTATATTCCAACATGTGTAAAATATTTTCGGTCTTCAAATGATTTTTTACGTTACGCTTATCATTATTTTTATTAGATTTCTAAATTATTCTCAAAATTTAAAATCTATTACTTTCTTAGTACTCCTACTACTATTCAAAAACCAAAATTACTAACAAACAGACCAAAAATCTGCTATAAACTATGTTATATGTATATATACACAATGGTCCTTCAAGTGCTTCAGGTTCAACAATCTCAGCTGTGAGTTGCTCGTATGCAAAATTCACCTTTTGCCATGAGGTTTATACATATACCAGATGTTAGTGATTCAAGATTTTTCTACTTTACAACTGCTCATTAATATACAGTATGTTTATTTGACTTGTTCCACAAAAGGTTCTTTATTTTATTCACTATTTAGTCCTCAAAAGTCTTTATCCCAACCTGAATCATCATCGGGTGGGAGATTGCCACAATCTGGAGGATAGTGATCAAAATTAGTGGTGTCTATGGCATTTCGCACCTAGGGGGATGAGATTAAGTAACAATTAATATAACAAGTCTTCTTTTGTAAATGTGGTTTAAGTTTAGTAAATTTTTATATACACTCCTTAATGGATTGAAATAAAACTACGTAACTTAGAGCCTTGTTGTTTTCAGAAACCAAAAAAGAATTTCTTAGATTATAAGGAACAGCTACTTTAGTAGAAACAAAACAACAAGTTGAAAAAAGAAAAATTCTTCATGTACACATAGAAAAAATAAATGACAATTTTTTTGGTGTTAATTCACTTTAAAAGAATAGTTTTAATAATTACATTAAGTAAAAAAATATTTCCTTATTTGTGGTTGTTTACTTAATTTTATGATACAGATTTACAGTTTTTCTAAAGTGAAAAAAAAACAAACATATATTTTACTTCTAATAGTTTTTTTTACTCCATTCTCTTACTTAAGCATAACTATTTACTCCTCAAACAGAGAAATATTAATACACATGGGAAAAAATATACGTACATATATATTCTAAATACTTTGCATACTTTGATGCTAATGCCATCTCACATTTATAGGAACTTTATTTTTGATTTACAACTAAGGTTATTAGTTTTACCCAAAATAGTATTTAAGTTATATCTATTTGGAATGAATCGATCCCAATTACTAAGCAGTTTGACTTAGGGGATTGCTTACCTGAGGTAGGATTGGAGGATGAAGTGTATGATCTCGTAGCCCTTCCCAGTTGAAACCATCAAACCACCTATTGAAAAGCCAGACATCAATAACTTAAACAAATCAAGAAAGTATGAAGATGGTAGGGAATACAAAAATAGTATATTCTGTATATATAAATTATTCAGCATCTTCAAAAATTAAAATAAAAAATTAATGATTTGTAAATTCTTACTTTATTAAGGTATCCCTCTATATACTTCAAATATCTTTGTTAATTACAAGCATGTTATGAATAAAATATTTTTCATTCATTTACTTAAAATGACTAAGCTTGATACAAAAAAGTTTTTTTTTTTTTTCAATGCAGTTAGTTTTGCAAACAGTCTATTGTTTGCCAGTTTTTGGCACCTAAACTGTATATAGTTTCATATCATTCCCGTGTTGTTTTATTGTCTTTCTTACAGCAATAAAATTTTTTTTTTCATAATTCTATTACCCTGTAATATTTATCAGCTTCTTTTTGTGGAAGTTTAAAAGTACCATAGTCACTAAATCATAGTTAAAACAAGAACAGTTTCTGAAGTAAACATGTTTCTATTGGAATTATTTTTACTGAAGCTTTCTAAATTTTAAAATAAAAAAAATTCACTTGAACTACAAAGTTAAACAGAGCTTTGTTGCATATTTACTGGTAGAAACTTTGTAAGTATCCACATAATATTGGGTACTTCTCCAAAACATTCCTCTAAACTAATTCATACAATAACTTAAGAGGTACACTGTATTTTTCTTATAGTTACTTACTACCTTAATCTAATTAAAATGTGAAGAGATAAAAGTGGTAGGGAATGTCCAAGTAACATGAAGACCTTTGCTTTTTACTGAAGATAATTCAAGCTGCCTATATTATTACAATTTTTTATGGAACTTGATTAAACAAGAGGTTGCTTACTTATGTTTTTGGATGTCCTTTATTCCTCCTTTCTGATAACCCAATCGTTCAGCAGGATTTTCTCTATATAAATTTAACTTTCTATTAACTTTCCCACCTTTAAAATGCAGTTTAGCATTAATTTACTTCAAACATATAATAAAAACAAATAATAGAAAAACACTACAAAATTGGAGTAAGTTATGGATATAAAACGAGTTCTCTTTGAGAATTGATAGTCAATAAATACAAGGAAAGAAAAACTAATATTAATACCTTGGTTTACTTTCAAAGTTTGAAATAAATACCTAGATTATTTAGTTCATTCTTAGGTTAAATGCATTTTTCACTAATAACTACAGATAAGTAAACAGAAAGAATTTCAAAAGCTACATCTTTTTTATTTTTGTTGCATAGTGAAAAAAATCACAAACTTGTAACAGTTATTAATTCATTATTCTAAGAAATATTTAAATATATGCTGAAAAGACATTTTATTTAAAGAAAATATTTCATGTTCAATATTTTATAACAAAGTTTTCTTGTAAACAACAACAAAAAAGTGATGGAAATAATAAAACTTTGAAAAATTCGATGTGTTATATGTTTTTTTTCACATTTGGTAAAATATTTCAACCATTATTATAGTGCTTAAGACCATGGTATTTGGTTTCCCTACCTGCAGAGTTTTTTAATCAAGGCCATGGCATTTCTAGAGATACAGCGAGGAAACTGTACAGCATCAATTCCTTTTAGAATGATATTGTAAGTCTTCATAGGATCTGAACCAGTAAATGGAGGTCTGTGGAGAAGAAATATATCCTAATTTAAATTTTTAGCACAAAAATAAAAGTATAAAAAAAACAGATATTTTGCAATGGAGAATAATAATAATAATGTTTGAATTGAGAGTCTAATTAGTCTCTCTCAATATTTAAATAATTGTTTATGGATAAACTGTCGCTTCCAAATAATGATTTATAGTTCATGGGATCTCTCTCATTTCTTTTTCTCCGCCCATGTGGACTCAGAGAAATAGTAACCAATTGGTTTTAGAATCCATATTTACCAGGTCATTTGACAATGACAACCTGATATGGAGAGGACAGTTAGTTTTCTCCAGGGAAATTACCCGTTCCAAATAACTCTTCTTTCAAATGAAGATTTTAAAAATAGTTTACCTCTGACTACAAATGAAAATTAGACTAAATTCACTAAAGCAAAGGCAATATAGTATTATTCTGAAGCCTAAAAAAAAACACTGAATATATGAACAAAAACATTCAATGATAAACTGCAAGAACTCAATAAATGTGCATGAAGCAGATTGTTGACCCATGTCCACTCCACGAAAACCTTCCAGCTAAACAGTAATGTCTAGTGGAAAGGAGAAAAATGTGTACTGAGGGACTGAAAAAAAAACAACCCTAGAAAAGTATGTTGAAAAAACACACTGATACTTATATGATGACACTAGATGAAATGTAAAGAGATATAGTGTGATTGACATGCTGTTATACACTGATCTTTACTTTCACTCTTAAGTTCTTATAACAGCTAGAATGCCCATTACTAGGCCTGATGTTGATTTTTTTTGATCCACCTGTAAAATCGTTGACAGATTATGGAGCACTAGGAAAGGGCTGAGGACAATGTCATGCTGCTCCACAATACACATCAATTGTAAATTTGGTGCAGGGCACATGTAGGAAAAGACTGAATACAGTGTCATGCTGCTCCACAATACACGCCAAATGTATATTTAGTGAGTGCATGTACATGTAGGCTAGGGAACTTCTTTTTAATGAACCCACAAAAGTGTTTAACCTGGTCACAGTTATAAACAGAACCAATGATAAACTTAAGACTATTATTAAACAAACTACATGTAAAAGTAGCTGAAAATATAAAACATTTAATAACACAGATCAAAGATTAGATATCAATCATTGCCATGGATAGTAGCCTATAAGATCACTGATGTCCAATTACTGACTTATTACTTTTTTATTCAGTACTGATTAGCATTTAGTAAGTAAAAAGTAACTAATTAGTAATTAATCTCTGGTGGTCACACAGGCTACTAATCATAACAACAAATATTTAAGCTTATATCACTTAAGTTTACACTGAAATATTTAAAATAGTTCAACTAGTTCCTTTAGGATCTTAACACTAGTGTATAATGTACGTACCTAAAATACCACAAGTTGAAATCAGTAATAATTTATCTTAATGTTATAAAACAACAAACAGCACACAAACTACAATCAGCAACTCAAGTACTCACAAAAATGTTTTTGAATAAAAATTCATAAAACAGAACAATACTGAAAGATGTAAATGTCATATAAAACTTAAAAAATCTGATGCCATAAGGCAAAATATCATGAACATTTTTCAATGCCATAAGGCAAATTAACATGAGCATTTTTCAATACCATAAGACACAATAACTAAGTGATATTTTAATGTGATAACATACAAAAGCATTCATATTGATTTTAATGTCTTAAAGCTCAATACAATTAAACTATATGTACATACGTGCCCGTCAGCAGTTCAAATATCAGAATACCCAGAGACCAGTAATCAGCTGATATGTCATGCCCCCGGTTCAGGATAACCTCTGGAGCAACATATTCAGGAGTTCCACAAAATGTCCAGGTCTTTCTACCTGGCATTAGTTTCTTAGCAAAACCAAAATCCACCTGAAAGATATCAGAGGTAAAACAATAATTTTATTAAATTAATTTAAATTAACGACCAATATCTCCAAAATGTGACTTTATTAGCTCAATATTTTGCTATTACAGCTTCGTCAGGGGCTATCGAGATCCTACAAGTTCACTAATCCAGTTGAATCTCATAAGAAACTCCAGTTTACACTAAGCAATATTAAGAACGAAACATTACTTTTGCTAACTATAAAGAAACAGTGCTGCTGTGCTAATAATTTGTTCGTAATCTTTAATGCGAGTCTTAATGCTTAATAAAAACAAGACTACATATGAGTGAGTTCACACAAACTGTAACAAATTACGTGATAGTACAGCATATTGTAGCATGTGAATGATAATGTTATTTCTAAAATCAAAGTTTGCTCAGGAAACATCCAATCAGGCTAATTATGGTCTGAGATGTTGTTTTCACCTGTATGCATTTTACAACAAATAATAGTGAAATAACTAAAATAGTGATTTTCCACACTATCTGCATGCAATATATAAATATATATACACACACACACACACACAGAGTCATCATTTAGTGAATTTAAGTCAGTGAGGTTATGAAGTTCATAAGATAAGCCTGAAATACACACACACACACACATATATATATTATACAGTAGTATACAATCCAAATACCAGAAATTTTATGACACAAAAAGGGAAAACAATACATTTCACAATTCTTGTTGACTGACTAACAAGTGAGAGTTTATTTTTAAATATATTCTTAAAAACCAAACATTGTTAAGTTTTATCTCTTTTTACTTTTAATTGAAAACTAGCGATTAATACATGTAATCTGTTTGGTGACCAACAAGATACAATAAAAATCATTACTTCAAACAAACAAATTACTTCAAACTATAAATAATCTAGAGTAAGCAGTGCTTTATGAATTACTTCCAACACTAGAAGATACTTACTAGTTTAACGTAACCCTTATATTCCAACACTAGAAGCATCAAACCAAGATACTTACTAGTTTAACGTAACCCTTATATTCCAATACTAGAAGCATCAAGCCAAGATACTTACTAGTTTAATGTAACCCTTATTTTCCAACACTAGAAGCATCAAACCAAAATACTTAATAGTTTAATGTAACCCTTATTTTCCAACACTAGAAGCATCAAACCAGGATACTTACTAGTTTAACGTAACCCTTATATTCCAATACTAGAAGCATCAAGCCAAGATACTTACTAGTTTAATGTAACCCTTATTTTCCAACACTAGAAGCACCAAACCGAGATACTTAATAGTTTAATGTAACCCTTATTTTCCAACAATAGAAGCATCAAACTAAGATACTTAATAGTTTAATGTAACCCTTATTTTCCAACAATAGAAGCATCAAACCAAGATACTTAATAGTTTAATGTAACCCTTATTTTGATGCTTCTAGTGTTGGAAACCAAGATACTTACTAGTTTAATGTAACCCTTAACATCAAGAAGCAGATTCTCTGGTTTAAGATCTCTGTAGATGATGTGGCGAGAGTGGAGATAGTCAAAGGCTTCAATCACACAGGCAGTATAAAATCTTGTAGTTAGGTCATCAAAATTTCCCCTAAAATATTTTATTGTCAGACTCATAGTTATACCAATGTATGTTTCATATTCTAGATCGTGAAACATAACACACTTATAATATTATAAAGTGGAAAGGATTACTGAAAAACATTTCAATAAAACCAACTGCAACAATATTTTGTACAAAACATACATTTTTTGGTAATATTATTGTTTTGAATTTCACACTAAGCTACATGATAGCCATCCCTAATTTAGCAGTGAAAGACTAGAGGGAAGGCAGCTAGTCATCACCACCCACCACCAACTCTTGGGCTACTCTTTTAACAACAAATAACGAGCATGTTTAGTGGGATGAAGATTGTAGCCCATAACTCTCAGCTTGATAGTTCAGCTCCCTAGCCACCCGGCCATACCAGGCTGGTAATATTGAGTAGGTAAGTCTGATTTAATCAGTTTTGGATAAAAGATACACACCCTTCTCTCAAAAATTGTGAACATTTTATTTAAGAAACTTACTAAAATCATTTAGTGTGAAACCATATTTGCCTAATTTTTCTACCATTGAACTATCTAAAAGTTATTTCAAGAATATATATTAATGTAGCAAGACATTGTTAGCAATAGTGATTTGACTTTTGATTAACTTGTTTCTTTAACTCAAATAATCATGACAGAGTGACTCTTAAATTAAATCATTTTCTAATGATCAAATATTATAAAAAATATTTAGGCATGTCCAATATATTTACATCACTGAACTGAAAATAAATCGAAATCGTAGTTTGGAATACATAATTATAAAATATCAAATTATGTTACTAAAGCAACCTGCTATCATCCCTGATTATGAACTGCTGACCAGAGGGAAGGCAATCGGCCACTCACCAGCAAGCTTTGGGCTACTCTTTTATCAACAATAGTGAGATTTACCATTATTTTATAACACATTCACAGCTGAAAGGGTGAGCACATGTGGCACGTGATTTTGATCCCTCAACCCACACATTACGAGATGAGTTCCCTAATCACACCTCATTATCTCACAGTTTTAATATCTGAAGTAATTTTAACAAAATAATCATTTAATGTGTATTACATTTTAATTACATACAAACAGTTTGAAGACTTACTTATCTCTTAAAATGGTCCACAACTCACCACCCAAACAGGATTCCATTAACATATAGAGGAACTTAAAATCCTTGAATGTTCGGAATAACCTAAGATATAAAAATGAGATATTTGTTGTTTTTTAAGTTGATATTTCTTATCTTCACGTATAACAAAAATATTTTGTACCTTGAAATAAGTTAATTCATAAATCAAAAAACTGCAGAAAATACATACAAAATAATTCAGTATATTATACCATCTAATTATGAATATTTTTTCAGAAGTTATCAAATCTTACGAGTCAGATGAGCAGAAAGGTAGTTCTTTAGATATATCCTAAGTTTTTAATATTACTCTTAAATTAACTTGTACATTTTCAGGGGCTTCAAACTGTGTGAAAGCAGTGACTTTACTGTAGATTAAAAATTAGTCTTCAAGAAGTCTTTTAATTTTATCACAGTTTTTGAAGTCACACATACAAGTTCAATCACTAAAACACTGACATACTTGATAATAAACTTCACTACTGAGTTATTTAATAATGAAGATTCCAAATTTTTATTCACAAATAGCTATAAAAATCAATTTGGCTAACTTGAAAATGCCATTTTCTCAAGTTTACAACTGATTTTAATTTGACATATACTTGTTAGTAATAGTTTTATGTGTAATTTGGTACTCTGTTTTTGTATGGCATAAAAATAAAATGTAATAATAAACATTTCTAATTTGTGGTATTAAAGGTAACACCTTACATACTTTTCCACTTACTGACAATGACATTTAAAAATACCAGTGTAAACAGACATTCAATAGACAGTTAATTTCAATTAGAATGAAATTTAATGATTGAAAACATTCATCTACTTGACAATGAAGTCACAGTTAGATTCTTCCATGATTGTCTTCTCTGACATAATGTGTTGCTGCTGTCTTGTCTCCACTATCTGGGCTTTTTTCATCACTTTAAGGGCAAATGACCTAGATGAATCGTTGCCTATTCTGACCTTAAAGCATATAAGCAATGTTTTTATATCTCTTTTAACAATTTCCTAGAAACTGCTTTTTAAAGACTTCTTTTAAATCTTTTACTTCTATAAACTTACTTATTATTATCCTTTTTGACAAGTAATACAAAACCACCATTAGATGAAAAAGTTATCGTTAAGACAACTGCTGGTGACTTACTTTCTAACACGGCACTCACTTATAAATGCTATTAAATATCTGGTAAATAAAAAACTGTCAATTACTATGTAAACTGCTAAAAAACAATGTATTACTTTAGTAAATCATTCAAAATATTAAATAAATTTTACAAGTTCAAATGCATTTTTAAGTGAATATATATAGTTATTTACTTAAAATCTGTTCTTAATTTTAAAAACTATAGTCCTTAAAAAAATAACATATTTTCAAGCTGTGAATATTACAGTAACTTAATTCTGAATATAATAAAGAGCAAAGGATGTAAACAGCACGACTATAGCTGCTAAAAACATTAATCTCAAATCATATCACTGTTTAATTCTTTATTTCAGAATTATCATGAATAGCCACACAAGAGATACCCGCAGTAAACATCCATCATTTAGAAATGACAGATTAGAGTGAAGGCAGCTGGGATTTTCTTATTTTGTAGTGGAATGCGACTGTCGACTCTTATAGTATATACACACACACACATACATCTCCAAATTAAAGGGTACATTTTTGCAGCCACAGGATATCAGCCATGAATCCTTGGATTTACAGCTCAGGAATGTTAACTATTAGGCCACACCTGGCCCATAAATCATGAAATAATTAAGTAAGAACTGCATCTCACTTTACTAGATCATTAAATCTTTAGTAAGATGCATGATAGTTTTGATACCAATCAAGTTGTCAACAATGTAGAAGACTACACACTGAAGCTACATTTAGTTAGTTTGTGAATGTAGTATGAAAGCGTAAGTACTGATGCTACATTTAGTTAGTTTGTGAATGTAGAATGAAAGCATAAGTACTGATGCTACATTTAGTTAGTTTGTGAATGTAGAATGAAAGCGTAAGTACTGATGCTACATTTAGTAAATTTGTGAATGTAGAATGAAAGCCTACCCACTGATGCTACATTTAGTTTGTGAATATAGAACGAAAGTTTCCCATTGATGCTACATTTAGTTTGTGAATATAGAACAAAAGTTTCCCATTGATGCTACATTTAGTTTGTGAATATAGAACGAAAGTTTCCCATTGATGCTACATTTAGTTTGTGACAAAATTTAAACATTAGACCAAGCTAAAATAGTCTCTAAAGAACTAATATCCCAGGTGGATGACATTCCCATCAAATACTATCTGTATTAGAATTAACTGAAACTTTTGTATGAGAATTTTGTTTTTTGTAACTAGAGTTCATTATGTCTTGTTCATGAATTATAAAATGAGTTTGGTTAAAAATCTCAAACATTTCTTGAACATCTGGAATGAGCTTTTACTTCATATTAGTAATCAAAACTTGTTATTATAAGTCACTTTATTAGGCTTAATCTTAACACTTGCCACTTGAGCCAGATCAGCATCTTTTAGTACTGAGCCTAGGATGGTCAACAGGTTGGGGAAGGGGGGGGGGGGTCATTCCAAAAACCGGTGATTTAGGGTTATTTCGACAGATCTCAATGAATGAAGTTCAGCAAACTTCCAAAAAGAAAAAAAAACTAAATATTAATAATGAAAATGTGACATGGTGAAATCTATATGGATTATACTATGGTGGTACCATACTGGACATAATACCATCCTTTTTATATTTACTCATCATTGCAGAAGTGGCATTTTTAATTTGAGAATCGCTAGGGAAATCATCTTGTAATGTATCTTGTAAAGGTCATGAGGTGACTCTACCAACTGGATAAAGAAAGCAAGTTTACATCTTGAATTCAGGAATGCTTTCTTTGTTCAGTTCTACATAGTTTTTATTAATACTAGTTTAGTAGAGATTCACTTTGAAGGATGGGAAGCTAATGAGCTATTCACTGATCCAGTAGAGCCAATCATCCACCCTGTCTATGCAAATATGCACGCTCTTTGTTTGTTATGTCTAAATAATGAATGATTTCACTGTCTTGTAAATGTATCCAATCTGTTTATTTCTCACAAAAATTAAAATTCAGTCAAGGTATTGCCTGTGGTATTTTCAGATAAAAACCAATTTCCTAACAAGTATCAGACAGGTAAACCCACAATAATAGCAGATTAATCAATAAATAAGGGAAGTTTTCTGTAGTTGATAACTCGAGAATAAAACATCCCTTATTCTGATGAGAATGATTAATACTGACATTGGAAGCACACATGCTCTGAGAAGAACAGAATTAATATTTTATGTATATAATGCTATTGTTTCTCAGTTCTTCACACATTTTACACTATCTATACCAACAGATACATCTGAGATCCCTGGAGTCTTCAGAAAACTGATTGATTTTTGCATTAAATATAAAGATTGTTTTCATATTATTTTATATTGTGTTCAGTCTTCCTATATGAATATTGCTTTATTTACTTTGAGTTACTAGCATTTATTGATATATCTAATGTTTTGCATTAATGGACTCTGTATGTATAGGTTCTAAATAGATTTTCTTACCAATTCTACTCTTCCAAAACCTCCAACTCCTAACGTAGCTACAACACTTAGGTCAGACAACTTGAGATTTTCAAATTCTTTGTTAAGCCTGAAAATCAGAATCATTAATTTTCCAATCAGTGTGTGATCTCCAGTTAACTGAAATTAAAAAAAATAATTTTAAATGGAATATAAAAAGAGTGAGGATGTGTTTATCAGCTATGAATGAATAAATCAAACAAATTAACAAGCATACGATTCTGACCAAAGAAAAAATAAATAAATATTCATACAAGTATATTATACTTAGTAAGGACTAATATGAGTTTAAATAATCCTCTAATGACCAACACATCTAGAAATACAAGTCACAATTAGCACTCAGTTGTGTTTTTTTTTTTTTAAATTGATTAATTTGAATTGGTAAATACAATGGCAAGTTACCTTATGAGTTTTAATTGGATAGAAATAGAGAAATTTAAAAAGCAGTTGGCTGATGTTTCTTGTTTTTCTATAATTAAGGTACTTTTCATCAACGAACTTACAATTTTTACTAGTAGATGAAGAATAAAATAGGTTGAATCATCTTGTTTAATATTAAATACATTCATTCTCACTATTATTTGGAATAATGAACCAAAATGTTAAACCTAGACTCTGACACTTGAATATGTCACCATAGAAAAACATGAGAGTTGATCAAGTGGTTTTTATGAATGTCATGAGGATCTGTGACATGTCCATTCTGTCAACATAAAAGTGTTTATGTTGGTTTAGAAAAAAAATGTTGTCAATGATTTCCAGAACTGAAAAATAAACATATAATTATAGAATTTATTCAAAAGTAAATAATAAAATGGTTAATAACAAACAATAAATTACACATTATACAAGATAAATATATAAATAAATTAATAAATAAATAAATATATACAGAAGTTAAAACTAAGCAACCAAAATGAGAAATTTCTCAGTTACAAACCAGAAGTGTGTTATTGTAGATTATACGCAAGTCAATACAACATTGCACTGAGATAGAAAATATTAAACATGCAATATCATTAACGACAAAATTGAAAGTTAATGCCACAGAGATATTAAAAAGTCCATAACGAAAGTGCTCTAAGATTATATTATATCTACTTATTATCATGATGAATCTAACATCTTTCAACATTGTTAATCTTGAAAATAATGTGTATACAGATGGAAGAAATTAAATAACAATGTAACTAATAATCTGTCTTATTCTTACTCTAAAGAGAAATCACTGTCACATCTTCAATATTCTTTAAATACAGCCATTTCTGTGACACTAAAAAAAACACAACGAATGCTTACTTTTATCTAGTTCACAGGAGAAGAAGGTACATTTGGGAAAACAATTGAGTTATTGTTTGCTTGTTTTGTTATTAAGCACGAAACTACATAATGGGTTATCTGTGCTCTGTCCACCATGGATATTTAAACTGGAATTTGAGCATTGTAAGCTGTGAGATTTACTGCTGACCCACCAAGGAGCACTTAGTTATTTTCTTTAATTGTAATTTATCTAATTTTACTCCTTACACATTTTATAAAGTAGTGTGAACACTTCCAACTAATATTACATTATCCACTACAACAATAAATATCATTTACCCTTTATCTAATTACGATTTCCTATCAGTTAAATAGGTGGTAACTATCAAAGTTTAAAATACATAACCCTAAAAGTGTCAATGTGTTCACAAGAACATCTTTACTTCATATTTTCTGGTTCTTGATTTTTGCTTTCAGATAAATGATTCATAATAAGCTTTTTCTAATTTCACAGTTCTAAAAATTTATTTTCAAGAATAAATAATAGAAAGTAAAACTTGATACCTAATCCTTTATATTTTATTGAAATATAACATAGAAATAGACTTTTAATGTAAATATATTTCATAAATAAACAAACATTGTGAATAAGAAGTATAAAATTCTTACCTTCCTTACCATCCTGATAGCAATGAATAAGAGATAAAAATCAGAAAGTGAAGTATTTAACAAATCTATATATTCTACTAGTATACATTTAATTTTGATAAAATTACTTCAAACTGCTAGTCTACTTACTATTTGGTAAAACATTTAATTTATTATCAAACTAATTCTTTTGTAAAATTTAAGTCAGGAAAGAAATTTCACGTCAGACCCATTCTTCCAGTTTTGTTGGATGCACATTATTTAAACATCAGCCTTACTGCACGAAATATTAAAATATTCAGTCACTTCTGCCAAAAATCAATTAAAAGCAAAACTTTTCCACATTGTATGTTTTTATTATTAATTAATTAAAAATAACAATAAAACAGTAATTTGAAAACAAAAACATACTTCTTTATATTTTTCTTTCATGCTTTAACAAACATTCAAATAAGTTTGTTTTATGATAACATGACAAACTACTAACTTTTTGCGTGCAATAACTTCTTCTTCGTCATATCGTTTTTGCTTGATCTCATCAATGTTGCTAATAAGCTGATTGAAAGACCTAAAGTTGGATTAGTATCAAACAACGAAATAATTATTGTAAAGAAATGTTGTGGTAAACATTAAAAATATAACTTAAAATCCAATATCAGTGAACTGGAACATGTTAATTCAATGGTATAAGTAATACCAAATGAATAAGGGTAAAATGGAAGTAAAATAAAATGCATGATAATCAATTATCGTATAACAGGAAAAGTATTAAGTAGATTTGATTAGACTTAAGGTAGCACATACCCTTTACATAGTGTTATCTAAGTTTTGGCCTTTTATCAGACAAACATCTTCATACTATGCTTTTAGTATGAAAATATATTGAAATAGGTACATACATGTTCTAGTACATGTTACGTTACACTACCACTTTGGCTAATTTGTGTGTTATAAAAATAAAGAAATACAAAAGAAATGTCTTATGTTCTTGATAACTTCTACAAACATGACTGAATGCTCCTGAAAATGGGTCCAGACTTTGCGGGGATGTGAAGATTTAGTCTGAACTAAGGAAAACTCTGAAAATTAATTCAAAATAAATTGTGATATTTTTTTTTAATTTAAAGGGTATATGCTACTATAAACAGATTTTCTTTTACATTTGTAATATTATTCAAAAACATGTTAAATAGCAGCAAATGTATTCTAAGTAGTTTGTAATTACATGTTATGAATAACCAACTTCAACTGTAATGTGAAACATGTAAAAATTGTCATCTTTAAGTTAAATCCCTCGTATTAAACAGAAAAATGGCAAAGCTTAAATTAAGCTGAGAATGTTCATTATAAAAAAAAACACAGCAAGAAGCCATGCATTTTCCAAAAACATTTCTAATATAACTTTAAGACTTTCAACTCGTATTTAGTTAGCATCTGAAATCATGTTTTGTTATGATAAAGATGATTATAACATATTACTGAACCATATGACACTGAATCTTAATCAATATTACTAAAACACATGGGAATGAAACTTAGTCAATGTTTTATAATATTATTAAAACATACAACACTGAAGTTCAGACAACATTTTTAAAATATTACTAAAACACCTGATATTCAAATTCTGTCAGTGTTTCTGCCACATTATTAAAACATACGATACTGAAGTTCAGTCAATGTTTCTGCCACATTACTAAAACATACGATACTGAAGTTCAGTCAGTGTTTCTGCCACATTACCAAAATATATGATACTGAAGTTCAGTCAGTGTTTCTGCCATATTACTAAAACACATGACATTGAGGTTCTGTCAATGTTTCTGCCACATTACTAAACATGTGATACAAAAGTTCAATCAATGTTTCTGCCACATTACTAAAACATACGATATTGAAGTTCAATCAGTGTTTCTGCCACATTACTAAAACATACGATACTGAAGTTCAGTCAGTGTTTCTGCCACATTACTAAAATATATGATACTGAAGTTCAGTCAGTGTTTCTGCCACATTATTAAAACA